ACCCTGCTTCTGCAGGGGGGTTGGACTAGATGACCCACAGAGGTCCCTTCCAACCCCTACCATTCTGTTATTCTGTAACTGAAAAATAGCGAACTTTTCGTAATCAAGAGAATGCCAACAGTAAATGTGCTGGTTTGGACTTCCCCTGGAGATCTCAGAGACCTCATCCCTCAGAGCAGGAGTACAGCCAAGGGGTCCTAGTTTGGTCCCACTCATGTGCCTACGAAGCCAAGAGATCCCAATGTATTCACACGGGAATCCCTCCCAGGGCTTCCCTGTGGACAGAGTCCAGTGGGTCAGGGTGAAGCAGGGCTGAAGAAAGGTTCCTTGGTGACAAGTGAAGAAGAGGGCTGAGCTTTGCCTCCAACAGTTCGGAGGTTTTTTCCTCCTGGCAGACACACAAAGGGGTTTTGCACATTCCTGCAGCTCTCTTGCTCCCACACACCTCTAGTGCCTCCTGCTCCTGTCTTCATGCCGCTGTTGCTGATGCCTTTGCCTCCCCTTTGCTCACTTGCCCAGCGTGACGCTGCACCCCAGTCCGTCGGAGGAAGGACAGTCCCGATGCGGCTGCAGACAGAGGAAGAAGGAGATACTCAGCAGGGAGCTCCCTCGCTGGGCTTTGCAGCCTGCCAGCCATCTTTCCTCCCAGCCTACGAGACCCCGCAGTCGGGCGCTGCAATAAGTCAGAGGGTTGTTATGGGACAGGGAGGGGGGAGCTCCAGAAGATGGGGGTCAGGGGAGAAGCACGACTACCCACCTTGAGAGCCGGGGGGGTATGGAGTCTTCGTGGGTTGCACACTCAGTACTACCACGTGCATAGGGCATCCACCTGGATCATGCCACCAGTCCAGTATGAGCGGAGAGGGGACTGAGGTACCCAAGAGCTCAAAGCAGGAGTTAATCCACATGCCTCATCAGCATCCTTCCCCCAGAAGCATGGTCACCAACATCCATCCCATAAAATCGGGGCCACGAGACACAAGTCAACCTGAATTCACTGAAAAGCACTTGTCACTTGACACTTCCCAGCGCACCTGCAGAGGACCAGCAGAATGAGGGGTGGCAGGGACAGAAACTGCCAAATCAGCCTCTGGAAACACAACTTGCAGGGGAACAAACCCACTCATGGCCAGCTGCAGTGGGTGGTTCGCTAAAGGTTGCTTCTTGCTGCTATCCTGCCGCAGGGCAGTAGCGTTGTGTCCAGCACCTGTAAGGTTGCTCCTCACACTCACAAGAGGAGTCTCATCACCATCACAGGTTGACAGGTTCATTCCTGACCTTTTGCAGGTCTGAAGGAACTGCAGATGATCTGGATTCACATTCATTCTTGCCTTTTTAGCCTCACAGCATTGGCTTGTTTTGGTTAAGCACTTCTCCTTTGAGCTGCCAGACAATATCCATCCATAAGTGCAGTGAACATTGCTAACGTCAACTCACTCAAGCGTGACTGGTTTCAAATGATCCATAATGATTCAAATGGAAGCATCTAAACGTCGCTATGAGATTGATGTTTTGTGGACTTTGATTTTTACTGATTCCACCACAGCAGCACAAACCCAAAGTCTATAGGCACTCCGGGCCCTTCAGAGCTTAACACACCTTGCCAGATAAAAAAAGAACCACAATAGTTTCCAGGAGACTTTAAGTCATTTGGAAACTGGAGGGAATATCATTGTGCAGGTAACCCTGCATGGTCCTGTCCCTACAACTCCTCACATTGCCAGCAGAGGAGTTTTCAATCCTGGCACAGGGACTCCTGCTTATGTTTGCCCTTTTCCTCTGCACGCTTCAATTTAAAAGAAAGCCCGGCTTCTCCTTCAGTGCCTTCCCCCTGCCACGTGGGTTTTCCCTTACAACTAAGGCATTACCACTGGCAAAACTAACATGGATTTCAGGGTCCTCGAAGGATAAAAATGAACTCCAGGTTCCAGATTCTTCATTAAGTTTTGCAGCTCCTGGACTCTGCAGCGAAAGGGGACAGTGA